CAGGGCTCTCGCGTCTGCGGCCCGGAGGAGAGCGGCCTTACGGCCTCGAGCGAACCCCTTTGGGGTTGAGGAGAGAGAAAAGGGGCCCTTTTCAAGGGTCCTGGGACGCGCTCCTCTTCCGGGGGAAGCTTGTGGTGCCTCCTGGACAGCAGGCTGTTACGGTAACCCTGCTTCAACCGATGGTGCCAGGCCCAGCAGAGGAGACTTTACCCCTTGGAGCGCTCGGCTGCTTTTCCCTCGATGACTTTTTATTGCACCATCATCCTGGTTTGCTCTCGGCTGCACCCTGTGTAGATAGACGTGTAACGGCCACAGCAGAAATACGTGGCTGACAGGGAGGAAAAGGCCTGGGATGGCACTTCTGGGCAATACTGCCTCTGGCAAATTGAAACTTTTTTCAAGCCGCAGCCCAGATGCTGTGCCCCGAGGGACAAAACGTACCGACGGCAATTACAGAACAGCCAGGTGCCAAGCATAATATCTGAGTTGCTGCTGAGATGTGTACTGCTTGCGTCTTGGTGAGCTCCCTCTCAGCACAGCTGCTGTGCTGCGAAATCAAGTTCGCTTCCTGAGCTATGTCAACAGGCCTGCGATAGGCAGGCAACGAGATTTTCTGTCTGCTCACTGTCTTGGCTACTGATAGACTTTCTTTATAGGCAGGTTTTCCTCTAAACACGAGCTGACTTTTGTGGAGCCCTTAGTTTGCTCTCGCTGTAATCTGTATCTGGCCAGAAATATCTTTTTAGGGTGGGAGGACGGGTTAAACTTTTCGCCCTCTGTATTTGTGGTGATTAGGCTCTGCAGCCTTTGCGCCCTGGTTAGACTGGTGAAGAGAAGCCGGGTGTAAGATTGCCCGAGTAGCTGTGTGTGTAACAGGAGACTAAGAACTGGCATTCGTTTCCTCTTGCTCGTTTGCATTGGCTCTCTCTTTGGCAATATGCACCGGGGTAGTAGCTCTTGCTTGCTTTGTCTTGGCCAATGCAGTGTCTGTTCCCATGGAAATGGGAGTGGAAATGGCAAGTGTCAGCAGAGAACTTAAAGTTTGGATCAACTTCTGCTGACTGAAGTGCCGGTGCGCAGACGCTGCCTGGAGTCTTCCCGCTCTGGTGGGGCATCGCTCGATGCTGAGCTCCTGAGGCGTGCGTTGGTTTGCGTTTGTACAGTCGCCCTGCCACGACACAAAATACTGATTCAGGTTAAGGTGTCTTGAGAGCTGCTGTCGCTCACTATTTTAGCTCTGAACTAGGAGAAGCAAACTTTATAATTTGTTTTCTCAGGTGTTGGCCCGTTTGGGAATGTTTCTTGGGTCCTTCTTTGTGGGCTGCTCAGAAGTGCCCTTTTCAGCTGGGTGGCTGTGACATTTGGGCTGTGAAACTGCAGCTGGTGGGGCTACTGGTGCTCTTGAAGCCCTTGTGTGTGTATCCTTCTTGCTTCCTTCTCCCTGTCTTCAAGCTGATGGGTATCCTGTGGCTGTGACGAGAAGATAGGGTCTTGTAAGATCTATCTAATGCTTTTTGCCCTTCTGCCAACCCCCAGGTTTTTGCTTGGAGAGGGTGAGTGTCTAAAGCCTGATGTCATTGACTTCTAATCCAAATTTCTTGCATAGATGAGATGAGCCAGTCCTAAACTTACCATGTTTTGTTTGTGTACTGCAGAGTTGGTAACGTGAAAATATTGTAAAAGTATTCTAGGTGCTTTTCCTCTTCGAAGCAGGATTTTATGGCCGAGTCCTTTGGCTCTGTGCCCTGTCTGTGAAACAAGATCTTCCTTTTGAAATGGTGTGAGTGGGTTTACTGTCTCTCAGACTGCAGCAGGCCCGGACATGTTTCTCCCTGGGACCCAGGTGCTGGGGTTTCGGCTACCTCTGTGCCTCCTCCTGGTCAGAGCGAGGAGGGGGGACGGGTCTGACTAGGGCAGCAAGTGCTATGGCCACCTAGGGAGTTAAGCGCTTAAGAATACAGAAAATGTCTCTTCTGTGTGCCTCAGAAATTAACCCTTCCTCTCGCTGTTTTGTGGTTGAAACTCAGCTTCTGACTACGGCATGAAGCTGCCGATCTTGCGGTCCAACGTGGAAGACCAGATTCTGTACCAGACTGAGCGCTACAACGAGGAGACCTTTGGCTACGAAGTTCCCATCAAAGAGGAGGGTGACTATGTGTTGGTTCTGAAGTTTGCCGAGGTCTATTTTGCACAGTCTCAGCAGAAGGTAAGCAGCAGCTCCATGCCACGGAGACCTGCCTTTCTCTCTAATGCAAGTTCCTGGCTAGGACTGAGCATGTCCAGGTTGCTTCTGCTGCCTTGCATGCTGTGGTTTGTCCTGTGCCCTGGAGAAAGGGGTGAAGTAAGGTACCAAAGATTAACCTCATCGCTAGAGCTCTCTCAGGCGGGTGCTCTGCAACAGAGTTCTCTTCCACGTTCCAGATATGCGTTTGGCCTGGAAAATTGCGCTACAAAGGAGTGCTATCAAGCAAACACATGCAACTAACTATGATCAACACCAGAGTCTTATGATCTCTTTAAGCTGTGCTGTCTTTGAGAAGAAGTGGTTTTGCATTTTTTCCTCTCTGCTCGTTCCTGCCCTTGCTGCATCCCTGTGTTGGAGGAAGTGCGGCACAGTTGGAATCGGGGAAGTGATCTAGGTTAAACAACTTCCTCAAAACAAAACAAAAAAAGTAATAAAGCTCTGTGCTGGTTCAAACTGGCTCTGAAAGCACAGAGCTAAATTCAACCTTCATTAGGACCCTTTGGAGATAAATGATCCTTGCCCACCTTTGAAATCCCTCCTGTACAGAGGTGGAAAGAGAAGCACAAAGAACTCAAAGCCCTGTGATAAATGCAGAGAGAAATGGTGTGTGTCTTAACCTGGCTTTCTCCCCACTCAGTGAGCTTCCGTAGAGCCCTGTTCCTTAAGCGCTATGCTGCCTTCTGCCAGAGAAGTATTTCAGGGAGCAGAACTGGTGGGGCCGGCTCACCCAATGGTTGCAAAAAGCAGTCTTGGATTAAACTGAAGGGATGAGGCACCTTTGGCTCCTCTTCCTTCATGTGGTTCTGCTGGGATTCCCCAGGTGCTGAGCACAGCCTGAGTCACTGCAGCCCTGAGGAGGACTTTCACTCAGAATTCACAGATGTGGTTAGCAGCTCAGCCTTTTACTTCCTTCAAACCCTATATCCTGCCAGTGGCTTCGTCGCCAGGTTGTTTCCTGTTCTCTGCTCTGTTGCAGGCTGCTCGTTGTATATGGCCTAACTCCCTCAGGCGAGGTGTGCCACAGCCACCCTGGGGTGGTGGGAGCGGGTACTCAGCCAGTAGGTAGAAAGTTGTGAAAGTATGAATAAGCCAGAATAAAACCCTGCTGTCCTCAGCCCTGAACAGCAGAAGCGGGGATTATATTAAAAGTAGGAGGTAGATTTCAGGGTGTTTGAAAGCAGCGTTAATGCTTTAGTGTCTTTAACTGGCTGCTCTCGGCCTCCGAATCCTTCTCAAGGGAGTGGAGGATGTGCGGTGGGACATGTAATACCTTTGCCTCCTGGGTGCCTAACAAGTACGGACCTTTCCTGTTCTGTTTCCCTTTCAGCAGTCGTGTACCTGAATCCATTCTGACGCTCTGTCGTTTCTTCTACCCTGAAGGTATTTGACGTGCGCTTGAATGGCCACGTAGTGGTGAAGGACTTGGACATTTTTGACAGAGTTGGACACAGCACGGCTCATGATGAGATCATTCCCATGAGCATCAAAAAGGGGAAGCTGAGTGTCCAGGGAGAGGTTTCCACATTCACGGGGAAGCTCCACATCGAGTTTGTAAAGGTAACAAGCCCTTGCTGGACAGAGCCCTGATTTCTTTCTCCCCTTCCCCTCCAGCTGTGAGATGCAGCTGTGCCCAGTGGGAGGAGAGATGATGGTAGGTGGGGAGAATTTTGTTACCTCCCGCTGCAGCGCTGACCCCCTTTTTCGCTTTCTCTAGGGCTACTATGACAATCCGAAAATCTGTGCCCTATACATCCTGCAAGGAACAGTGGAAGGTGAGCATGGTTGTTGAGCCAGATGGCTCTTTCCCCTTGGAGAGCAGCCTGTTGCTTCTCAGACCATGAGATCATAGTTCTTGCTGACCCACCTCTGCCAAAACTGTTTTCTCTTGGCAAGTCCCCACAGGAAGCAGTTGCAGACTGTGATAGGTGTGTAGTGCCTTCCCAGTCCTCTCAGTGTGCAGAGCTGCCTCATTTTGGAATAAGCGTGGATTTGATTCATGTCTTCCTGCATATGGGGTAGAGGAGAAGGGAATATGCCTGATCAGCCTTAGCTACATATAGCTACAGGTGAATTCCCTCTGGCTAATGGATGTTGGCAGCAGCCCTGCGGACAAGCAGTTTATGGAGATCTTTTAGCTAGTAGTGTGATGTTTCTTACCTGGAGCTTTGTCTGTCCTCCTTAGCTCTGAGGACAAGGCAGTGGGTTCTCTTTTCCGTCCCCTGACGTCTGTTCCTGTGAATAGCCACGGATGTGCTCTGTGGCAGTCCTTGCTCTCCCATCACCCTCTGTGCAAATCTCTGCTGGAGTTGAAGCCTCTCCAACTCCAGAACCGGGGAGGTTTAGGGCCCCTCCCTGACCAAAGGGTCAGTTTGCTTTTCCAGTGGTCAGAGGTTGTCACGTATTGCTGAAGATCTGGCCCATGACCTGGTGAAGGGTGGTACCTTGCTGTGCGGGGACCTGTGCTTCAGGCTCCAGGCCTGGGTTTGGGTGAGGCTGCAGCGTGTCACTGATGGATCTGGGATTGAGGGGTGCAGTGTGAGACAGGAGCATCTGTGGGAAGGGCTGTTCGTGCTCTTGACTAGATCTCCCTGAGCACTTGAGATGTTTGTATATGCTGCAGGTGGCCTTTTGTGCTGTAACCTCTCCTGTGTGAGAGGTGGATGGGGCAGAGGGCAGGGATGTCCTTGTCTCTTTGCAGACTAGGTCTTCATGTGCTCCTGCATCATGGAGGAAAGTGGCTTGAGCCTCTGTGAGGGAGGGTGCTCCTATTTCCTGGGATTTTCTAGGTGCGCTGTCAAAGCGGTCCTGGTGTGCCCAGTGGGTTGGGGAGAGGGGAAGGGAGGGACTCGGGTCGTTTCCCGGTTATGTTCTGCCTCCTTGCAACCTTCTGTCTTGTGCGACAGATGTTCCAAAGCTGCAGCCGCACCCTGGTCTGGAGAAAAAGGAGGAAGAAGAAGATGAGGATGAATATGATGACGGCTCCAGTGTTAAAAAACAGGCAAATAAGAACCGGGTTCAGTCAGGCCCACGCACACCAAACCCCTATGCCTCAGACAACAGCAGCCTCATGTTCCCTATATTGGTGGCCTTTGGTGTCTTCATTCCTACCCTCTTCTGCCTCTGCCGGTTGTGAGAGCAAGCCCCACTGAGCGTCAGCAACGGGGCTGGGAGGGAAGGAGTTGGACCAAACACGGTTGCTTTCAATTTCTCCATGTTGTTCATAATTTAAGGAAGGAAAAAAAAAAGTGATTCACTTGAAATGAATAGCAGGTCGGGGTAAGAGGGAGCTTACCTTCCCCCTGCCAGCAAGCAGTGAGGCCCTCGCCTTCCCCTTTGCACCACGTGCAGCCTCCAGTCCTCCCTGGGGCACTGAAGAGTAAACTGAGTCCTGGCTGTCCTTGTATTGGGCTGTTGGAAGCTGATGCTGGCAGTCCCGGGCCATGTCCCACACCGAGAGAAAGCCATGTGCTGCAAGACCTCTGCCTTTGCTGGGTGGAGTAATGTCCCTAAGCAGGGAAACAGCCCTTACAACCAGGCCTGGGAGCACATCTTGTCCAGGAGCGTGGAAATGTTGTGGTGCCGTTGAGTGACTAACGACTGTGGAGGACAGAGGTTGGCTCTTCAGCATCTCCCTGAGCGCGTGCAACATGATGTATGGTACTCGCCTGCATAAAGATACCACGACTCCAACTTGCTGCTCAGCCTCTGCGGAGAAGTTCCCCTCCGAAGAGCACAAGCTGCGCCAGGAGCAGAGGGATTTATCTGGCCTGATTTGCTGCACCAGTTGGGAGAGACTTTCCTAGTCTGACAATTGTTAACGGTTGAGCCATTGCAGAGGGACTCTGCTGTAGCCTGCGTGAGGCTGGTGTTCTGTTAGCGTCTGTTCAGGATGCACTTGTTTTCTCTGTTGATTACGGCTTTTGTTCCCTTTAACTTTTTTCTTTTCAAAGGTTCATTTTTAAGTCCAGTTGCTTGTCTTGCCCTTTCTAGCAAATGACCTCTCCTTTGGAAGAAGCTGAGAGCCAGATGACCTAGAAAGGAGGTTCTGGTCTTGTTCCTCAAGCTTTCTCATGATTTGGTCCCTCCATGACTGCAACTGCCCTGTGCTGTAGGACAGAGCGGAGCAACCCCGCGAAAGCTCCTTGCGAGCGCTCAGCCCCTGTCGTACAGACCAAGCCTGCCTGCAGCAGTGGGAAACGCAGTGGAGGTGGCTAGTGTCTTCGGTTAGCATAGGCTTTTGCATATCAAGGCGCTGGGTGAAGGGGCGGATATCCAACATTTCAGTACTAGAGACCAAGGTGGTTTGTTGCCCTCCAGAGACCTGGAAAAGAAGAGGATAGTTGAGACGAGGCCCCTTGGTTTCCCTGGTTGCCTGGTGACAGGCTGGTGAGCCAGGTCACCCGCTGTCCCCCAGGGATGTTCTGCAAGAGGCTTCTGTTTCCACATGCAGAGCCTGTGCCTGCCGACAGAGGCTGAGCAGCAGAAAAAAACCCCTCGCTGTCCCTGCCGATCTCGACCTGCAAGCCCCAGGAGCTGCCCTGCTCTCCTGTGGCCTTGGCCTCTGCCGGGTGGAGCGCTTCCAGCTGGCAGGAGGAAGGGATGCTCTCCAGGCACGAAAGGCAGCTGGCCTGGTTAGCGGGGGTGCTCCTCGCTCTGACTGGCTGGCTCAGCTTCAATCCTGATGAGCTCAGGGCCCAGGTGCAGAACTCGCTTTACCTCATGTTACCTTCTTGTAAATACTCTCTTCACCTGGCACAGCGGCACTGAGCAGTGTCCTCCTTGCTTCTGCTGCTCCTCCTTGGACCTGAATTTTCCTTGCAGTGGTTCTTGGGTTTGATCCCCTGCAGTGGCTCAGTTCTTAGCCTTTTCTCAAGCTGAGAAGGGTCAGCAGAATTTGAGGAGAAGGCTGTCTGCTCTGCTGGGTCAAGCAGCTGAAGCCATTGCTTCCTTCTAACCCTCGAGGTGTGAGATGTTGGCCTGCGGGCTGCAGGGCAGGCGCTCGGGGAGCTGTCACAGCACTGGTCCCTGCAGCAGTGGTGCTGAACCTCAGTTTTCTGTTTGCATACGTTGCTGTTTTGGGCGACCCTAAATCTGTCTGTGAGCTAAAAAGCAAGCAGTAGGATCTTAACTAACTTATTCATTGCACAAGTGGAAGAAGCGTGGCTGCAGTAACAGCCACAGTTTAGGAGAAACAAGATGGTGCCTGACCGTACTGGGAGGAGAAGGCAGGCTTTAGAGGAGAGCAGATCTTAAGAGCAAACCTTAGGATGAAAAGGCAGTAAGCTTGAAGTTGTCTGCTTCATTTTCTAGCTCCTGTTAAAATCCTAGTACTCTGAGAACTCTTTAACACAAACTCTGTTTATTTGGTGGCGGTGCCTCAAAAGACTCCTTGGCGTTTGTTGCATTGCCCCAACTGGATCACAGAGATGTTTGTGCTTCTCCAAACTGATTAAGATCTGAACTGCCCTGATTTGTTAGGCAAAGAACCTGGGCTTGAAAGCAGGCTTCTCTGTAAGGAGCTGTTCTCCTCCAGGCCTTCTAGGTTGTGTTTGCTTTGAGCATCCTTGAAGCAGAGACTCGCTCGCTTTCTTGTGGCTCACCGAGTGATCTCTGCACCCTGCATAGCATGGAAAAAGGTGCCTGTGCAAGTCGGAGACAGGTCTTCTAGGACAGCTTATCCCTGCCTCTCCTGGCAGTCAGGATGCCCGTTTTGTGTCCTGGGACACCCGAAGGCAAAGCTGTGCAAGGTTTGAACTGTTGTGTTTGAGTTGGTCAATTCAAATGAATTTGTCTTGTTTTGGCTCTGGTTTATCTATTTTTGTCACTAGTGCAAAGCTGGCGTTAGCTCTTCGGGCAATTGTGAGGTTTCCGGACTCTGTTGCAGTGGTGGGAGCAGCTTTCTTTGGTCCATCTCCCTGTCAGGTGTGATTCAGAAAGGGCCAGCAAATGAAGCAGTATGGGAGCACAGGAGGACAGCAGAGATAACCAGTTGGCACCTCCTTGGGAATGGTATATGTGCTCGGTTGGCTCGTCCTTGTCATCTCTGGCACCTGCGTGCCGGTCAGGTGGGTGTTATGCTCTACCTGACCCTGATTTGGGAGAGAAAAATGAGCCGGCTGTACCTTTCCACCATGGGAGTGTCCAAGAGGGTGTCTAACTGCAACCGGGTTGGTGCTTTGCTGCTTCCCGACTGCAGCAGCAGGCAGCTGAGGTGCATGTCCCTGTGCAGCGGCGTGGGGAGCTGGATCAGGACAGGCCCGAGCTTGACTCTTGAAGTAGTTGCATAAATAGGGGCAGATAAGGCAATTTTAATGCAGCTCCTTGCTGTAGGTGATGTTCTGGGCCTGGCTCTAGCCTCGGTGCCGTGGTTGCAATGCCGATTTTTCATTCCTCCCCCTTCAGGCCCTCCCCGCTGTCCCAGGGATGCAGGGGCCCAGCTGGCAGTCGTCTCTTATGGTTTGTGTCCTCAACTTTCGTACCTTTAAGCCGGGCCTTCCATTTCCCTGCTGTGCGTGAGACTGGAACAGCAGCTCTGACCCTTTTGGGAATCCCAGGTGGCAATGAGCAGAAAGCCAAATAAATTCCCGTCTCTTTTTTTGGTGCCTTTATGTTGGGCTTTGAGTAAAAGTCCGTCTGAAGAAGCTCCTTTCGTTAAGGAGCTTTTGAGGTCTCCTTTCCCAGGGACAGGCCTTCTCTGCCTGGGGTCAGCCAGGGACCATCTCGCTGTCCCTTGATGCCTGCTCTGGAGGTCCCAGTTGAAGCACAGAACTGCGTGCAAGCTCCTTTGGTTCCAGCCCTGGAGGTTGATGGCAGGGGTGGGGGAAACAGTAGTGAGGCAGAAGAACTGGAAGAGCTCCTTCAGGTCCGGTGTCCCCGGATCCCCTGCAGGCAGGATGGAGGCCTTCCAGGCCGCCTGGTGCCTGCTTGTCTGTGCACCTCAGAGCCGGGTGAGTCATGGCTGGCTTGTGGGCAGCCACGTGGCGTGTGGAGCTTCTGCGTGCAGAGCGTGGCTGGCGACAGGTCCTGCCACCCCGACTCGCTGCGCAAGAGCATCCCCTGCTCTGGCAGGGTCTAAATGGGGAGCGGCGACCTGTGCCTTGTGCCTCAGCCTTCCCTTGAGTTGAAATGGGACAGTGACAGCCAGGGATGTGTCTTGATGGTGGAAGTCTGGGCTGGATGGGCCTTTCTTTGGTGGAAAGCAGCAGGAGAGGACCATCAAGGACAGCCTCAGCCCTTGATGCCAGACAGATTTGAGCAGAAGCACCGAGTGTTTCAGGCTGCTCAAGCGTGGGAGAGATCTGCCCGCTCCTAGCGCTCGCGTGGCTGGGAGGGAAGATCCTTGCGCGGAAGGCAGCGGAAGCGGGAGCCGGGCCAGCGCTAACGAACCTTCCTTGCTTCTGCCTCTCCTCAACAAACGCCGAAGGCGAGTCAAGGATGCTCTGTACGTCAGCCTGGTTCCACCAGCCTGTCCTCACCGGCTAATGCCGAACAGGGGCCCACA